TGAGACCATATAGCCCCCAAAGCTTAAGATATTAATATATTATCTGGTTCTTTACAGAAAAAGTTGGACTACTCTGTCTTCTTCTACTCAGGTTGCTATAACAGAAACACTATAGAGTGGCTAGCTTATAAATAACAGAAATTTATTTCTCACAGTTCTGGAGGATGAGAAGCCTCAGATCAAGGCACAGTAAATTCAGTGTCTGGTGAGAACATGCCTTCTGGTTCATAGATGGCCATCTTCCTGCTATCTCTCATACGGCAGAAGGGATGAGGGAGTTCTCTGGGATCTCTTTTACAAGGGCACTAATATCTTTCATAAAGTTCCACTCTCATGACCTAGTGACCTCCAGAAATTCCAGCTTTCTAGCACTACCACATTGGGGTTAGGTTTCAACCTATGAATTTCAGGGAGATAAACATTCAGTCTATTGAAATCTATATTAGAAAGTCGTTGTTCTTAGCTTCTGATCCTTGATGACCAGAGAAGCCCTTAAGAGATAAGGAGGTACTTCTGAGGAGGGCTCAAAATTGACTAATGTTTAGTTTAGTTCTCAGAGATGACCAAATGTTTTAAATTTTGATACTAAACTCCAAGATTAAAGTAATAATGATAGGAACCAAATGTGAAATTCCTAAAGTATCATTTAAATTTCAACTGTATCTCCCCTCAATAGGGTTTCAGCTTCCACAATGTATTATTTATGATAAAAATAAAGAAATTTCATGAAATCATTTCTAAAGACTCCTTTCCCTCCAAATTCTGAAATACTATGATTATAATATTAACTGTTGAACTATCATTATATTGTTCAATATCTCATTGAACCAGGGCATCCTATATTCCAGAACTTCTCAGTGCCCTTCTATAACTGAATTATTTTGAAAATGTGATGCGTCTGCCTGGCTTAAGTAGGAGCATCTTCTCACGCTTCAAGCTTTCTTTGAATTTCTTTCAAATAAGAGACTTCAAGTTGATTAAATATCCAGATTATATTGATTTTAATAGATGTGTGTTTTGTTAGAAGGAGACTGTAAATCACAATCATTGCCATGCTGTGTGTAGCTTTTTGAGCATATATTAACTTAAGGAAATGCTCAGTCATGCCTCTCCAATTTCTGTAATGCTATCACCCTAAACTGGATATACCCAAATATCAGTCTTATGGTAAAATCTATACTCATTTCTGTTTTGATGGGGTATTTACTTTCTGGTTAAGGGAAAGTGAATGTTTACAAGCAAAGTTCTATTCATTCCTAAAGAAAGGACTTCCTATTTTGTAGCTGTTGGATTATGGATGAGACTTCATTAAGACAATAATCCCCAAACCCTAGAGGGTGCTCTCAGTAGGAATTAACACTCCCAAACAAGTAGATGCAATGCTCTTCTCCCTCAAGGACTTTCAGCTCTCAAACCAACTGAGCTACTGTTATCCCCAAATACTTACCTTCTCGGATGAGTATGCAAGCTTCTCTTTCTAAATGAAGTCATATAAACGTCTCGTAGCACCCAGCTAGTCTATGTCTTTTTGTATTTTTATTGGTCTCTATACTCTTAACTCCTTAACCAGCAGCTTTGTTAATGAAGGAAGCTCACTTTGATAAAACTACTATGTTTTGATGCCCGTTATTGGAAGCCACGTGCCAAATGCTAATTTAAAGCCAATCATGGGGACGCCTGGGTGGCTCAGTTGGTTAAGCAGCTGCCTTCGGCTCAGGTCATGATCCCAGAGTCCTGGGATCGAGTCCCACATCGGGCTCCTTGCTCGTCAGGGAACCTGCTTCTCCCTCTGCCTCTGCCTGCCATTCTGTCTGCCCGTGCTCGCTCTCTCTCCCTCTCTCTCTCTGACAAATAAATAAATAAAATCTTTAAAAAAATAAATAAAGCCAATCATGAAGGGTAAGAGGGTTTGTTGTACACACTCATTTACATAACTCATTCTGAGGCTGCTACACAGCCACCCAGCCTAGTGTGTGGTTTTTTTTTTTTTTTTTTAAGATTTTACTTATATATTTGACAGTGAGAGATAGAGCACAAGTAAGCAGAGCAGTAGGCAGAGGGAGAGGGGGAAGCAGGCTCCCCACTGAGCAGAGAGCCTGATGCAGGGCTGAATCCCAGGACCCTGGGATCATGACCTGAGTGGAAGGCAGATGCTTAACTAACTGAGCCACCCAGGTGCCCCTGGGCTATTGCTTTTTCAAGCATGCCTGTCTGTGATGTGTTCTTGTCCATGATTTGAACTTATCAATATGATAAAATCTTTAAAAAAACAAAAAGGGTTTTTTGCTGCTGTTCTTCAGTCTGCCTCCCCATGTGAAATCTGTAGTGGCTTTACTAACCTTTTATTTTTATTTTATTTTATTTATTTATTTGACACACAGAGAGAGATCACAAGTAGGCAGAGAGGCAGGCAGAGGGAGAGGGAGAAGCAGGCTTCCTGCCAAGAAGGGAGCCTGATGAGGGGCTTGATCCTGGGACCCTGAGATCATGAACTGAACTGAAGGCAGACACTTAAAGACTTGCCACCCAGGTGCCCAGTGGCTTTACTAGCCTTTACCTTAGATATGTTCGCCTGTCCTTCTTCTGATACGGAGCTGAGGTGTTTAGAGAATGTTCATCATTAGGTATTATTCTTACATCTTTGGGGCAGCTTTTAGAGATCCTGATGCCTAGGTAGCACTCCACACCAATTAAAGCAGAATGTTGTGGTAGGAACCATAGGCATCAGTATTTTTTAGAAGATCCCCAGGTGATTCCAGTGTGCCACAAGGTTGAGAAAACACTGGCTTTACTTATTAACCATTTGGCTTAGAGTAGAGTTTCTTGCTTCTGGTAGCAGTTTACTCCTCAGGATCAATTAAGTGACCTGATAATAATGCACTTTAACTGTTTGAAAAAAAGATGTTATATAAATATGAGACTGGTTTTTATTGTTATATAGACTGAAAAGGAGCACTGTTTTATGGTAAAATATACATAACATGAAATTTAGCATGTTAAACATTTTGTACACTTCAGCGGCATGAAGCGCGTTCCCATTGTTGCACTACCATCACCACCATCCATCTCCAGAGCTTTTATCATCATCTTAAACTGAAACTGTGTCCATTCAGTAACTCCCATAATAGCCTACAGCCCGTGGCAGCCACCATGCCACTTTTTGTCTCTACAAATTTGACTGCTCTGGGTACTCGTACAGTGGAATTACACAGTATTTATCTTTTTGTGACTGACTTATTTGAATTAGCGTAATATCTTCAAGACTCAACTGTGTTTTAGCATGTGTCAGAATTTCCTGATTTTTTAAGGTTAATACTCCACTGTATGTATATACCACATTTTGTTTATCCACTCATCTGTCCTTGGACACTTGGATTGCTTCCATCTTTTGGTTATTGTGAATAATGTTATGATCACGGATGCACAAGAACTGAATTTTAAGTGATAAATAAGACGCTCATCTGGGTAAATTGCTTGTTCTTTTTTTTTTAAATTTTGTTTATTTATTTGAGAAAGAGAAAGGCATTGAGAGAAAGCAGGGGTGGGGAGTAGAAAGGGACCAGCAGACTTCCTGCTGAGCAGGGAGCCCAATGTGGGGCTCGATCCTAGGACCCTGGGATCATAACCTGAGCCAAAGGCAGATGCTTAACCTGTTCAACAAGTGAACAAGTGCCCCAGATCACTTGTTCTTTTTGGATAGGTTGTAGTGTTGTTCACCAGATGAGTTCACCTGCCCCTAGTGACTGGTTTGCCTTTTACAAAATATGGCAAAAGTAGTTACTATTCCTTATGCTTTCTGGATTCTCTCAAATATGATAGTAGAATTATTTTATCGAATTAGGTCTCTTGCCTACTCTGTTGGTCAATCCCACAAAAGCTGTGTTCTAGAAATATAATGATAAAAGTCTGTGTCTAGAATTAAATCAAGAACTCATGCTGTATAGTTTAGTTTAATTCCGAAGGGCTACTACAGCAATATTGTAAGCTTCAAAACAAACCTAAAAGGATTCCCTGGTCTAGAAGTTATAAACCAGAAGTGTGTATCTTGCTCTAGAAGCTGTAAACTAATTAGCTGGAGTCTAGAAGCCACATTAGGGTCTTTTTACTTCTGCCTGTGTTACTCAGGTACTTTAGCTCTACTTCTATACATGATCTTAGTTTTTTGTCTTACAAAATCTACTACCTGAGCTAAGAGTTCACTTTTTAGTTCTTTCCATTTTTTTTTTTTAAAGATTTGTTTATTTATTTTAGGAGGGATGGGGCAACGGGAGAGGGAGAGAGAAACCCAAGCAGACTACACTGAGCTTAGAGCCAGAGGCTGGGCCCTGAGGTAGTGACCCAGAGATCACAACCTGAACCAAAGTAAGAGTTGGATGCTTAACAGAGTGCGCCACCTAGGCGCCCTTAGTTCTTTCCATTCTTGGTGAACCAACCCTCTTTGTCTCTTCCATGAAGGGTATGTTTCTTTTTTACAGAGAGTTCAGATGGGTTTTTCTACAAGAGAGCAGCTGTGTTGTCAGTAAGTGGAAATTTTATGGAGTCAGTCAACTTTGGAAAAACAGTGATTACTTATTTTAACATTGTATTTCTGAAGACATGACTTTTTCATATTCCCACAAGCCACCCACCCACTCATTGTTATAATATCAAAGAAATGAATTTTTGTGTGTGTGTATATTTCACTTTGATCCCTTTGACACCTTTCCTTAAATTTTCACTTAAAATAAAAGGCAGTTGAAATGAAAAGAGGCAGCTACATCACTGAAAAGATATAAACTGTACACTTTGTTGGTCTCATTGGGTTAACAACTGGGCTGTGTCTGTGTGCTCTAGAGGTATAAGGAATGACCGAAAACTGAGAATCTGATGAGATAGTATAATTTTAGATCCAATTCTACATTTAAACATGAGCAACTTGTTCTTCTTGTCTGAAGACTTACCTGTTGAGCTCTACAGTCCAAAAGGCTAAGAGTGAGTAAACAAACCTTCTTTCTTTCTAGATCTTCATCTGCTGGTGGATGTGGCCTGCAAGCAGGAGCACTTTCCAAAGGAGGAAGAATTAAAAGAGTGAGGAACGGATGACAAATGTGACATTGTGCACTAGCTGTAGCTGGAGGCAGACTAGTCTTGCACATGACACACTGTTGGGATTTTTTTCAGTTCTGTTAAGGAAAAAAAAAATGTATTTTTGTTTTGTTAATTGAGAATTTTGTTAATTGAGAATTGGAACTTTGGTATTTACTACTGCTGTTACAGATTATTTACCTTGACAAACTACTAAACATCAAGCAGCCTTTTTTTTTTTTCTTTTTGCTGCCCAGATCCCTTTCAAATGAAAAGTCCTGGCCTTCTATTACAGTCCAGAAACATCTAAAAGCTGCTGCATCTGTGTGCTGGAGAATCATCTGTGTGTGTGCTGCTTTGCTATCTTGCCGCTCTCAAACTGTAGTCAGCACAACGCCAGTGGGGAGCTCAGTCTATCTGTTTCAAGTCAGTGTGATCCTTCTAGAGAAGATTGTGTGAGAAACAAAGGCATGTGAGGTCACCAAGATCACAGGTCTAAATGGGTCAGGAATTCCAGGGAAGAAACTCTGAGAAAGAGCTAATTTTCTAAGTGATTAACCAGGAAATGCTCTTACTTCCTAACCCAGCATTCTGTTTCAAAAGCAAGGCATCCGGACTTGGACCATCCATCACACAACAGCCCCTGATTCTTTTATATTAATGGGAGCGTTCTTCTATTTTCATATCTTTCTTTAATTTTAATGATACATTATCATAAATGGTAAGAAGGTTTTGTTGTATATCACTTATTTAAGTGTCTTCTAAAGAAAAGTATTTGTTTATTATATTTATAAATGCTGGTAGATTTAAAAGTTTTAAAGCTTTGTATTTTTATTAATATTGCAGGATAGAAGGATAAAGGATGCATGTGTAAGATATTTATTTTGAAGGGGAAATGTGTGAACAAAAACAGTAAGAGATTTAACACTGTTTTTTTGCATTAGCTTTTTATATTAAGTACATATAAATTCTCATCTATATGAGATATTACATGCAAATTTTGGGAAAAACTGATTAGCAGTCATTTAACAGAAACTGTATACCTCTGACATTCTTAATACTTTATGTCTGGTTTAAGCTTCTGAGAGAATTTTAGATAGTGGGATAGACCATAACATTTTTATTTTATCCCCTCTGTAGGACTGTGGGTCCGGTTTTTAAGAGAAGTATCTTGGGTGTCCACTTTCTGTGGTTGATCCCTCACTTGCTCATCCAATGACAGCAAGAAATTTTCTGATTTTAAAGTCTTTTTAAACTGGCTAGAACTTCCTTATTGGATTCTGTTTCAGTTGTCCTAATAAGAATTGCAGGAACAAAAGGAAAGCCTAGGAATATGAAACTAATTAAAAAGAAAAGGCACTTAGTGATATGACATAAATACTATGCTATTCTTCGTGGGTGTAACAATTCATTTCTTAAATTGCATTGCACCTTCCCAATGACGTCAAACCATGGAAATGTTACAGAGATAGTAGTTTTTCCAAAAAGGATGAGTTCTGTATTGGTAAGCAGTGACTCAGTTTAGATATGAAAGTAGATTCTGAAAAGTGACCTGTTTGGTCCATCTGATTAGACTAGTTGATGTCCATGTGATGGGCATTTACTCATCTTTATTAGCAAGGTTTAAAAGATGAACAAATTATCAAGACTCCTCCATCTTTTGGCCTGACTATGTATTTTGGCAGAGTATGTGAAGAGGAGACCCAATTTCCAAATGAAGGAACTTTGCCTTTTCTCTGTCATGTTGAGAAGCTGATAAACTGTATAGGAGACATTCTTTCCCTTAATATGCCTTTTTAGCTTTGTGTATGTTGAAAGAAATAATATCTTTTGAGGAACATGTGTCAAGCAGAAACCTTGGCATGGATTTGGTTTCAGTGGTTTAAAGCTTAATTAATGAAATACCTTTATCAGCTTCCCAAACTTTTTTATATACGAATACAACAGACCAAGGAGCTGGATCTCCTGCTCTGCTCACATGCCTGCTACCTATCAACTAAAGCTATCATCACTGACTTGGGGAAAATGGCAAAAGATAAAATAAAATCTTTGTGTGAATTAGCCAGTAGGGTCTGACACATATGAACAAGGTTTCTGACGAGGACCTCAGTATTTCAGCACCTTAAGCACGATAAATTTCAATCAGTCAACAATAAAGTGAGTATTTCAACTGGATTTGTCTTGCTTGTTTTTACTGTTTTATTGGTGATCAGTAGAAACCTCAGTCATCTTAGCAAAATTTAAAAAAGAATGTATTCCTGTTTTTCAAAGAATCTGACTTTAAATAAAAAGTGTCAGGGTTTTGTTTTGTTTTTTTTTCCCATTTGCAATTGAACAGCGAATGAATCTTTCAAATGCCATTAGGGATATGGACAATTCTGGACATGTTTATAAAAAAACCTGTTTTTTTTTAGGAAAAGAATGAATAGTCTTCAGTAACTTTAGACAATCCAGATGTGGAAATAGATCCTGAAGGATGATCTTTCTCATGGGTAAGATTAGGTGGTTGATGTCAGTGAGATGGGCATTTCATTACCACAGTAATGACATCTTTATGACATCTCTGTGGAAGTTGTGGTATATCAACCCCTGAGGGATAAGCCAGAGAATAATTTCTTTTGCTTGTCAATTCTGGTGACCTAGTAAACACAATATATCAGTGCAATAAACTACATAGGGCTATTTGGTTTGATCCTGAGTATCTCACAGGATACCTAGGTTCACAATACATATTAGCATCATTCCTAGATCATGCAGTTTCCTCGAGAGAGGGAAACCACATCTATTTTTATTTTCCTTCTTTGAACTAAGTGTGTATATTAACTCTTAGGTTTGTTTAGGTCTCTTAACTCCTTTGCAAGTTTCAAGCAGGAACAGGTGAGGCAAAGTCCATTGGTAGGAGATGTTTTTGCATCTATTAAATATACAGTAGTGTATATTTTGCATTATTTATGCTCTACTATTACACAATATACATAAAATAAAAAATATAAAAGCATAGAAGTTTTTAAAAAATTTGTTTGAAAAGAGCTGTAAAGGTCTATGGTTACATTGTGTTCTTAAGGTCCAACCAATAAAGAGAATGTGCTAAATTAAGAATTTATTTTAGAGCTTATTTCTCAGCTCTATGTCAATTATTAGGCCAAAAATGCCAAAATTATTCCCATAAACCTTTTTTAGGGAAAAAATGTTCAAGGTAAAGAAAGCACTCATACTTTTTTGCTCTAGAGGCATTATGTCAGCTCAAAGTTTTATAACCAACCTACAATGCAATTATTGTTAGCCACATTTTACAGATGATCAATTTATATACTCTCATTTGTACAACTAAAACATTTTTAGTCTTTTGTGCTTCTTACCACAACTAAAATTTCAGTGTAAAAGCAGTCTAAGTGTGCATTTCAATATGTTAACCACGTTCACATTGTACTTTTGTACAGTTTGGAGAGATTGTTGGCAATAGGTTAAAAATAAAATGTCTGGACACAGTCCAATATAATCTGGCAAATTTGAAAATTCAAATTTTAGACACATATATTGGAAACTTTTGCATTCTCATGACAAGGTAACTAAAAGGGGTAGAGTTCATGGTTGTGGTAATTAGCCAAGAATTGGTTTTCTTTTTGCCTACACACTTCTTATGAAGCGTATATATTTTACCCCTTTGCTTGTGTTGATGGCAGACTTCTTCATAATCTTACATTGAGGGCATGGGTGTGATCCACAGTATTATTTCACTCTCCAATGACGTGAGAAGTAAATAAGAGGTTCCAGACCTCTGATACCAGCCTGATCTAAAAAGCTCCATACAGGCACAGTTTAGAAAAGAGCTGCTGAATTTAAATACGTAAAAGCTGAAGCAAAACTATGTGTAAAATGGACAGAGTTCTTGCTGGTGTAGCAGACATGAGACAGCAATAAGGACTACAGCACTGGATCACTTCATCCTGGCCTTGTGTCCTTTCTAGACACTAAAACCCGAAAAGAGCAGAAACGAAACTCCTTTGAACTTGTTATTTGCATAGTCTTGGGTCTGCTCTTTCATGTTCTGGGTTTTCACTATTTTATTCTCTTTATTTCCTCATATGACCATTTATGTTCTCCTGGTTGCAGAAGCTGCTTAGATGTATGTGTGAGTGGACTTGATTTACATGTGGTAGCTTGCTTACCAGGACAAAGTTAGAGCATTGAATTGGATGCAGTTTGGCTGTGGCTCCATAGAGGGCGTAGAGGAGCCGAGAGAGCAGAGAGCAAAAGAACGTGCCCGGCTCCCTAAGTGTGCGCGCACTCAAGCTCTTGCCCTCCAGCCAGCCAGCCAGGAGGAGGGGCGGGTTGCCTCTAGCTGCTCCACCCTCACTTTGTGTCAGCAGGTAGAGAGCGTGATTGCAGTCCCAGGGGAGGGAGTCAGAGCTAGAACACCAATTACAAACCACAGGCTTCCTCCTCTAGGGAGTTGATCCAGAATTATCTTTCTGGAAGGGAAGCACTCGAATCTTTCCGAACTTTCCAAGCCCATCCGTGATTCAGAGATACTGCTTTCTCCCTCTGGGATTTTCTGTGTTCCTGGTAGTGAATTGTTGCTGATGTATTTGCTACTTTGCTCCTTTTCGCTCTCAAGATTTGATCATTTTATATGTTGTTCGGGGAGAAAAAGAACATTTGTTAGAAAGGAGATTTCAGAAATGATTTTGGATCCTCTATAAGTGCTTTTTAGAGTTCTTGGGAACAGTAGCTCTAAGCCTGGAGTAAATGTTTGCCTTTGACCTGCATGGATTACTTTTTCAGGCTGCGGAATTTCTCGGCACCTACCTGCAGTGTGGGGCCCTTGGTCTGGTTGCAGAGTGAGAAGGTGGAAGAATGAGCTGTACTTGGTTAAGCAGTTGAAACCTTTTTTGAGCAGGACCTATAAAAGCATAATTGAATTTCTTTCACCCCCGTGGATTCCAGAGGGCCCGACAGCGCAACAGGTTTGCAGATTTCTTTTGAAATTCTTATTTTTCTCCCTCT